GAGAATTTTTTAAATAATTTAGCTTACTAATTTATGAATAATTTTTAGATTCTTTATCAAATAGTAATAAAAAATCAAATCTGAGCTAATGCATTGATTGATGTTTGATATTCAAATTGATAGTACTACAAGTTCCAGTGGTATTAAGGTAAAAGAACTTGAATTGCTAGACAATCAGCCTTTAATTAATTTCCTTTCAGATACAAATGAATTTTCTTTTAATGAAATCCATTAATTTTGGATAAATTCATGAAATATTAAAGAATCAAATGTTAATGATAGTAAACAATTTCCTGGTAAATTCCTTAAACTATTATTTGATAATATAATTATTTTAAGCGAAATACTTGATTTGATGATTAAATATTACAATGTGACTTATATCATGTTTGATTTTAAGAAGCCATTTGATAAGGATTTAGAAGATGATATAACGATTCAGGTCAAAATAATTAATTCAGAAGGTGTCGAATTGGTTCTAAAATCTTTGGATTGTTGATGTCTTTACGATATGTAAAAAATTTATACATTTTAGTCAAATTTATTATAAATGATAATACAGTCAATTGTTATTCTGGCTAAGTCCAATATTATTTTATATATAAAGTCAATTTACCATCTGGAAAGGCTAAATTTTTTCTAGCATTTGTATATTAGTATAAACTTGCAAGTTCTTCAAATATGCAATATTATTTTAGCAAAGAAGACACATATAATGTCAAATTATGGGATACTGAATTTTATCCAGAAAGTCATGATTGTATAATACTAGTTTATTATACTTTGGGTCAATTTGTATTGATTAACTATCAAATTTCAGCCTGGTGAAATGCAAAAAAATATATAGCTGTTTATCCAATTAATAGAAAATACTATTTGTAAAAATAAATTGAATGTTTTTAGCATTATTTAGGTGTTAATCTTAAATATTAATTATATTTCCTTTCAAATTTTATTTTATTTTGAAATATTTTAGTCTATTTTTGATGTATATTAATCAGATGTAAATCAGACATCAATCGGCTATAAATAAGATAGGTTGAATTTTAGCTGATTTTTGATGTATATCAATCGGATATAAATCAGACATCAATTAGCTATAAATAAGATGGGTCAATTTTAGCTGATTTTTAACATATATTAATCGGTTATAAATAAGATAGATCAAATTACAGTCGATTTTTAACTGATTTCTAGTGTATGCCAATCGGCTAAGCTGATTTTTTGATAATTTGCCAAATTTAGATTGAATTTAGGCCAATTTTCACATGTCTAATTTTTTTGATTTTGACCAATAGCAATCTTCATTAAATTTTTCTTCCGGATTTCTTTACACTCTTCTCATCCAATTTTTTAAAACTGTGAAAATGAAACTCATCTATTTAGATTATCTTTTTCCAGTCTTCTACAGTCCAATGTTTTCTTTTTATTGCCCATGCAAGTCATTTAGATTTGTTGATTACTAAGATGAAAGACTTTTTTCAAGAAATACACAAATGCATATTTTCCTTATAAAGTGCATGATAAATTATTTTATAGAGACTGGCTTATTAATTTTAGCAGAAATTATATTAGTAATTTCTACTAGACTTTTCATCTTAGTTTCTTATTTTTGAGAACTATTGCCTTCAATCTTTGTCTTTTTAGCTATCAATTAAGCAGGGTTGACCTGTTTATTTTTAGAAGATATTTTTGATTTATAAGCTTCAAGACACCTTATAATGATTGTTTAATAATATTATATAGCTTTTGCAATCTCTGTATTATTGTGGTTTAATTTTTGGCTATAATAATGTCTCTCTTTTGTATAGAAGTTAATTTTTTTAGCAAGACCTATCACATGCGTAAAATTTAAAATAGTAGAGATTTTTAAATCCAATTTTTGCAATCTTTAACAAATTAAATCAAAATAATAAACAAATATTGTATTTAGGAAATATATAGTAAATATAGTATAAAAATCATATAATCAGTTATATATTAATAATTTATTAAATCGGGTAAATTTTAACTGTACAATATTTTTATTTTCACTCAGTATTATCATAGAAGGTAATTCCACTTTAAAGATAAGACCTGAACCTAAAAAACAAACTCAAAGAATATAAGCTTATTTAACTTACATTCTAATAGTTTAAGCTGACACATAATCTAAAAATATTATAAGAAATATTATTTAGATAACTTTCTTTAATCTTCATAAAAGAGAAATTACATTCCAAATTAGGTAAATTTCAAATCAAAGTAAAGATTGAAACCTAAAAAAAGAAGAACAGGTTTTTTAGATAAAGAAATTAAACTTAATAAATAAAATTGTAATATAAAGGGAAAGGATTATATTGTGTGTGAAATGAAATTAAAGAAATGATTCATGCTAAATTCTCCAAAAGAAATCCAGTATATATAATAAAATTTTGATAAGATTAGCCAATATTAATTTGCAAAGACTAACTAAAATTATCGTAAATGATTTATAGACCAAAGATATCACTTTGTGAATAGAATTATTATATTTATGTAAAATAATTTATGCAAATTTGATGCACTTGTAAATAATAAGTAAAATTTTATTAAAAGCAACAATACTTATAATATAAATCCAAATGACTTTCAGTTACTTAATCAAATATCCATTATTTTAAGTAGGTTTTGATAATTTAATAAATAATTTTAAAAAAATCCTGAGAATTTAGTAAATTTAATTTTGGATAATAATTTATTTGGTTAATATAGTATAAAAAGAAATTTATATAAGAAAAATATAATCTAAGAAAATAAATAATCTAATGAATAAATTTTTCAAAAGTAATTAACTTTACAAAGTACGTGAATAATATAAGTAAGCCTTTTTAATTTTCTTTGCAATTAATTATTTTTGGGTTTGATCATATTAGGTCGTAGTAGAGATTTATAAAGTAATTAATCTTTATACAATCATACAAGTATTTGAGTTACTAGATTTTATTAAAATATAATCATTTTCTTTTATTCATAATTATTTATAAGTCATTCCTAATAAGATAATAGAAGGATACCAAGGAATTAAATCAATTTGACAAATTTATTCCAATTTCATTATCTTTACATTTACCTTTAACTTCTCATACAATTAATTTATAAGTATTGATTATTAACTTCCTAAATTTAAAAGTATATCACTTCAAATTTAAATCCTAAATTTTTTCCAAGATTTTTAAATATCAAATTAAGAACTATCTCATTTGAATTTATTATGATAAGCAAACTTTAAAAAACTGTTAGTATTATAAGAAAATAGATAATAATCTCATTATTATTAATTAAATTTCATTCTGATATAATAATAAAACGGTTATGAAATATTCTGTATATATTAATTTTTGCAAGATTTTGTGACATCATAAAGTTGAAAATGAAGGTTTTGATATAAAATTACTTATGTGTATTTATTATTTCATTTGCTAAGTAAATTATTTCCAAAGCGTAGTTCATATTTTAACATCAGTTGTAACAGAGTTTTAGTTGAAACTGATTGCAAATTCACATATAATGTTTTCATATATATTCTCTTATGTAAATCTTTTTAGCTCCATTTTTTAGCAATATAAACAGTTTTATAAGATTAGTTAACTTTGTATAAAGGATAAACATAATATCTTGTGTATATATTTTGATTTTGAATTTAATAATAAAAAAATTTATATTTATATATACACTATTCTCCAAAAAGTATCTGGTCAAGCTTTTTTTAAATTTCTTAAGTAGTGACATCAATTAAATAAAATTTTTTTTTAAATGACCCTCTTATTTTAACGATTATGTGCATATGTTTATATTTGTGTAATAATGCATAGATCAGGTTTAATATATAAAAACGTAAAACAACTTCGATTTCACCTTTTTAAAAATTGCGCTATTCAACATGAAAAAAAATTGCGAATTAAATGACTTTGAACGTGAACAAATTGTCAGTTTAAAGTTAGCAGGATGGACTCATGAGGCCTTCGCACACATTTTAAAGTTTCCAAAAAGCACTGTTACAGATGTAATTATACAGTATGCTAATTCTAATAATGGATCAAATGCTAAAAGATTCAGATGATCAAATTCTATGAATAAAGATGGTGAGCTTAGACAAATTATAAAAAAAAGAATCAGACATCTTTTAATTATTGACGATTTCAATTATTTTAAAAATTTACACTTAAAATTTTAAATAAATTTTTTTTTCGGCTAACCGGATACTTTTCTGAGGGTAGTGTATATATTTATTATTTATTTATATTATATATAATCAATATTGATAAAATCATATTGATGAACATGGGAAGGTATGAGATGTATTAATATTATACTGTTAATTAAACCCTATTATTTGATGTATTCTTAAATATATACTTCAAAGTAGTAATCTTACTTATCAATAAAAAATATAATGTATTTTTAAAATCTAATAGTTTATTATTTTAGGTTAAACTGTTATATTTTAAAATATATTTATAAGTTGTTAATTTATAAAGCTAAATTAATACTAATAAAGCTAAATAATTTTTAATTCATAAGGGTTTTGTATTTTTATAATAAACATTTATTCTAATTGTATAGAAAAAATCAATACTTAAGTATTCTTTAGGAATTTTAAAAATAGGATGAAGGATCAAAATAATTTGAGAGATTAAATCATTTTTATAATGGAATGTAAATTTTTGAAGTTTAAAAAATCTGGATACTAATACAGTATATATAAATGATTTGAGTTTTTACTTTTTTCTATGATATACTTTTTCTTTTTAATAAAAATGTAAATTGAATAACTGGACTATAAAACTAATACATATATGAAAACTTACCATGTTTGTTAGATAATCTATCCTTAAAGTATCAGATCAAAAACAAGGTTTTTAGAAAGAAAATTTAATTATCTGCTTAGGAATTTTTCTTTTTTTTTTTAAAAAAAAGAAATAGACTAGACTACGTAGAAAAAACTTATAGTACCTTGTAAATACAATTTTATCTCTCAGTTATGTAGGATAATTATTAGACTTATATGGAATTAAATGTTATTCTTAGATTAGAACAAAAGGTTGATATTTTTCAGAAAGTGTTGGAATTTGTAGTAATAAGAATTCTATATGAAAACTTTAATAAATTGATTGTATTTCTACAAGTTCTTTAAATTAAATATCTTTTCTCCAAATATACAACTTAATTTAAAAATTTTATTGTAAAATTAAATTATTCCTAACGTTACAATACAAACTTCTTTTTAATTATTTTTTACATAATTAATAAATAAATAACTGCTTGTAACAATAAAGTCAAATTGATCATTTCATTTTATTATTTAAGACGAAAATAGTAAATAATTTTTAGTTAAATAAAACAATTAAATTGCTAAAATTGTATCAAGAGGTTAAGAAGTTGGTAGGATAGATTTTTGATTTAAATATTTAGGGAAAATTTTTAAGGAATCGGGTAAATTTGGTAAGCTAGTTATTAAAGTATCTGTATAGTCAAGTACCGTTAAAGAGGTGGGTAAAGTTGGTAGGATATTTATTTTAGTGTAATAACATTTGAGTACTGTTAAGGAGTTGGGTAAGGTTGGTAGGATAGTTATTTTAGTCCTATAACAATTGAGTTCTGTTAAGGAGTTAGGTAAGGTTGGTAGGATAGTTATTGAAGTAAATGAGCAGTCAAGTACCATTAAGGAGTTGGGTAATGTTGGTAAGCTTGTTATTTTAGTCTTACGACAATTGAGTATTTTTAAGAAGTTGGGTAAGGTTGGTAGGATAGTTATTGGAGTATTATAGCAATCAAGTTCCATTAAGGAGTTGGGTAAAGTTGGTAGGATATTTATTTTAGTCCAATAACATTTGAGTATTGTTAAGGAGTTGGGTAATATTGGTAGGCTATTTATTTTAGTGTAATAACATTTGAGTACTGTTAAAGAGTTGGGTAACGTTGGTAGAATAGTTATTGAGGTATAAGAGCAATGAAGTTCCATTAAGGAGTTGGGTAATGTTGGTAAGCTATTTATTTTAGTGCAATAACAGTTGAGTATAGTTAAGGAGTTGGGTAATGTTGATAGGATAGTTATTTGAGTATCAGAGCAATCGAGTATTGTTAAGGAGTTGGGTAATGTTGGTAGGATAGCTATTGAAGAGTAAGAGCAATCAAGTTTCGTTAAGGAGTTGGGTAAAGTTGGTAGGGAAGTTATTTGATTATGAGAGAAAAAAGTACCAGAACAATCAAGTTCGATTAAGGAGTTGGGTAAAGTTGGTAGGATTGTTATTTTATTATTATGACCTGAGCAATCAAGTTTCGTTAAGGAGTTGGGTAATGTTGGTAGGATAGCTATTGGAGTATTGGAACAGTCAAGTTCCGTTAAGGAATCGGGTAAATTTGGTAGGGTAGTTATTTCAGTACCAGAACAATTAAGTTCCGTTAAGGAATTGGTCAATGTTGGTAAACTTGTTATTTGAGAATTACTACAATCCAATTTTGTCAATTTTCGATATCTTTGCAATCCGCCTAAGGTGTTCAATATGTCATCCTTAGCATCTGTAATAGTCAAACTATCAATAGTATCATCGTAAATAATTAATTCAAGATTCCTGATTCTCTTTTCTAATTCATTAATAATTTCTTGTTTTTCTTTGGATACTTCTTCTCGTACTCTAATCTTTTCTTCTAAATTATTAATAATTACTTGCTTGGCTTTGGTCTCTTCTTTAACCTTTTCTTCTAAATTTTTAATAATTCCTTTGGTTTCTTCTCGTTCTCTAACCTTTTCTTCCAAATTATTAATATTGGCTTTGGTTTCTGATTCTCGCTCTCCAACTTTTTCTTCTAAATATTTGAATTGTGAACGTAACTCTTCGTTACTTTGCTATAACTCCTTAACTCTCATTTCCAAGTCTTTTAAGGATTATTTTTTAAAACCATTTTGATTAAATTTTTTTCTTTAATTTTTTCGGATGATTGTTTCAGAGTTTTATTGCTTTTCTTGCCAATAGAAATCTCTTTTTGCTCAGCCCTCGGTTTAAATTTTTTCTTACCGTTACAGTAATTTTTTCCATAATAATCTAGTCTTAAAAATGGATCTAACCGCTTCTTGTCTTACCAAATATAGTTAGCTGCTTTCTGAAAATCAAATAAAGTTTAGCTTATCGATTTCTTCGTTAGCTTGCATTTTAATCAATGATCATTTCTAATATATTTATACATTCGATTCGTCATTTTTGTCTCTGAGATTTCGTTTATATTACAAAAATGAGCATTTCTTATAGAAAATCGGCGTAATCGGCTAGAATTAATTGTGGCGCACAAGTAACGGATAAGACGTGACGAATAGATTTTTCACTACTGAATTCTTCGAAACATAAAATACACATCTTATAACATACAAAATAATAGTTTCTTTACTATGTTAAATCGTAAGTCATTAACTATATCTCATCGTCACTAAAATATCCCTTGTTATAAAAATATGTATCATCATTTTATTATTTAATAATAACGTATTCCTCCAAAATTAAGCAACAACTTTTTGAAACATAATGCCGGCCAAGATTTAGTAACGCGGGCCAAATCGTTATGATGCGGGCCATATTGCTTATTATCAGAAATACATACAAATACAAATACCGGTGCATCAATTTCATCAAGAAATTGATTTGGTGGTATAACGTCATCCGTGGTATTATTTCTGTTACTGCTCTTATTAGCTATTTGAAAAGAGAAAAGTCTTCTGTAAATTAGTATAATAATAATTTTTACAATCAATATCCTTAAATTCCTGTAATTTTAATATATGAATCCTTGAGTAAATAATTGCAGTATAACTTAAATTAATGCGGATTAATTTTACATATTAATATATACTAATTTAATTATAATTGGGTCATTATGTGCTAATAATCTAGGCCCAATGATTCGGGTCGATTCGAAACTTTTTGGTGCATCTATTAATATTTTTGACCCAATTTTAAAAATAAACAAAATACCGTACTATATTTATAAATAACCAAAATCATTACATGTTAAAAGGAGGCAGACAAAAAAAAATCTCGTAAATTTTTTAATGTACCAAAGGTTGGAATTTTTATAGTCGACCATTAAGTTTTTTGACGATAATTGGGTCGTCCGTCTTAATATCTATTCCGAACTCGAGAAATTGTCTATTGTTGGTTGTAAACAAAGATCGTAAATCGTTTTCAGAATAATTTAAAATTAAACACGTTTTTTCTTATATTTATTATATATTATTTCTGATATTTTAATTTTATTGATTTTAATGAGAAGGTTAATTAATAATTATCAGCTTGCTTTGAAGTTTATAGTATTACGTACCATTCATTAAACTCTGTTAGTAATGATTTGTTAAAATCCAAAAATTTCTAGCAACGAAAGAGCGCCTGTGATCTTACAGATGTTTCTATTCGGAAAAATAATTTACTTTTGGAAATTATTATGAATTGGACAATAATTTTGATATTAATCGTCGTTGCAAATTGATATCGCGAAAATTGAAGAATAATATATCTCTCGCTAGAAAAAGATTGTTTTGGATATTTATTAATTAGCCTCCTTAGAAAATAATGACAAGAAATTATAAAAGTTTTTTTTATCTTTAAGCTTCTAAAATCTTATTAAATCGAAGACCAAAAATTTAAAATCTAACTAAAAGTAAGGCAGGGCAAAAAAATTTTTTAAATTCTCGTGACCCGACCGCCTCAATTTTTACAAAAACTCATGATTTTTTTTTTATAGTAAAATGTTTATCACGTGACTTTATATAATGAAAAATCGTAATATAGCATAATACTTTATTATAAAAAATTTTAACATATTTTCGTGATTTTTTTGTTATTTGAAACTTGATATTCTTAGCACTTTTTTTTTTGTCAGAAACTGTCATATAACACTCACTACAATAATAATAATATCCTATTTGCGTAATACAAAACATAATATAAAATATATAAAATACATATTATAAAAAAAAAAAAAAAGGCCTGGTGACCGTGTCAATTTTAAAATTTTATGTCACCGAGAATCTAAAAATTTTATTTTGCCCGGCCTAAGCGATTGGATTTCTTGAAAACTTACTGTTAACATCAATATTTCATAATTACTATTTTATACTTTATTAATTTTGTTTCTATGACTGTAACATTCATGTTATAACCTAGAAATATAATATCCGAAAAGAGACAATGATAATTAGGCCGATAACTTTCCCAAACGGTTAGACTTAATGTGTGTAACATGTATCTTTAATATTCTTTAATTTAATTTATATCTCCAAACAAATAAATAAGGGTGTTATCTGATCTGAATATTGTTAATCACGTTCATATTCCAAAGCTAAAAAAAAAAAAATCATGAAAAAGGACAAAATATTTTAAATTTAAATGGTTTTTAAATTTTCAATCAATTGTAACAACTAGATAAACCTGAAAGAGATTAATTTAACTCTACAAATTCCCACAATAACGCTCCAACGCTAAGATGTTAAAAAGAGTGTACATATGGATTAAAAAAACTTCGATTAAAACAAATTTCACTTGCCTGTAAATTTCACATTTATTATTATAATTTTGAATATATACAGTACCTTAAATAAATTCGTTAACAACTTAGCCCTGGATTTATAGAAAGTTCTCATTTCTCGGAGGAGCATTCTATCGACGAAACATTTCTACTTTCAAATTAATATGCTTTGCGAGATGCCATCCTTTAAAAATTATTCCTTTGATTATAATTTAAAAATTTCTAACCATTTTAAAATTTATAGTTACCTACCATACCATTATCATTTTTATCATATAAATTTTTCTTTAAAAATAAAATTACAATGTAAAAAATAATGTCTTGAAAATCAAAACTCGATATAAAGTAGATAATTGGGTTTTAAAAGAAATTAAAATTTGATGGAAACTAAAAGTCACGTAGATATGTCCTAATATTTAGCGCAATACCGCAGGATGCAAATAATTACATTCCGTCAATTTTCAAACCTTATTCTATCTGTCTTCGCCTATATTATTAATTCTCAAGAGGAAGTGTATGTGATTAAATTTCATCCAGTGAGTTTCGTAATGTAGAAATAACCTTGTAAGAATCGAGATTAGCCTTTATTACGCCGAAGCTTCACCTAAACAAGTACAAACTCAATAACTTGCCTCAGTTGCGGGACTCCTTAGGACATGGTTGGAATCTGGGAGTTTTCGGTATGTAAACATGACCTCGTTAGAACGCGGGATTAACCTTTTTACGACGAAGCTTCGCCTAAACAAGTATAAAACTCAATAAAACTTGCCTCATTTGCTGGACCCTTGGGACATGGTTGGAATCTGGGAGTTTTCGGTATGTAAACATGACCTCGTTAGAACGCGGGATTAACCTTTTTACGCCGAAGCTTCGCCTAAACAAGTACAAAACTCAATAAAACTTGCCTCGTTTACGGGCCCTTAGGACATTTTTAGAACCGGGAGTTTTCGGTATGTAAACATGACCTCGTTAGAAAGCGGGATTAACCTTTTTACGCCGAGGCTTCGCCTAAACAAGTACAAACTCAATAAAACTCACCCTATTCGCAGAAGTTATCTTTAAAGGCTTGATATCTAGGATGTAATCAAAACCTCGATCTCAAACTTTTTATGCAAAAATATCGCCTAAGCAATATTCTTCAATAAAGCTCACTTTGATTGTATTTTAATAAAGTAAACGAAAATAAGCGACACTTTGGACCGGGACAACCGACTGAAAAAAATGTTGATTTTTTTAAAAAAAAAAATAAAAATAAGAAAATGGAAAATAGGAGAGAAATGGATTTTATTAAAACGTAGTAATTTTTTTTTTTTTTTTTTATTTGTTGATTCTAGTGATCGGTCTCTCCTTAAAAACGTAGTAATTCACTCATGAATTTTGTGACAGGTTACACTGATCGGTGACAATATGGTGTAATAAATATGCCAACACCTAACCAGCATAGGGTCATTCTAAATTTGACATTGATGTTACACAACTATTTATATATGTTTTACAATAGAACTCAATTAAAAAACGATCGGTCTTTAACTCGCCAAAGTTTCTAATTAATTAGTAACGAAACTTTACAGACATATACTTCGAACTGTTCTTTTTCGTTTGAACTCATATGATCCAATGTGATCCAATGTTCTAGTATAGTTATATAGTGGTAAAATTTAACTAAGGTTATTTGTAATTTTAACATTTTATAAACTTTAAACAAAAATTGATAATGTAGAAACAAACAATTATATTATAAATTTATAAAAGAAAGAAAGGACTTTTAAGATAAGTAACATTATTAATTTCAATAAATGTTTTTATTTTATTATATAAATTATTAAATTTTTTTTTAATAATTTTTATTATTAAGATAGCATATTACCAAGTAATAACTTGGGTAAGAGTATGCAAATAAATCGTGTGAATTTCCCGATTCTTGCTTATTTACACATCTTCAATCGCATCATTTTCTTCAACTAAAATATTTTCAATACTTTAAATTAATATAACTTTTTTATTCATAAATTATATTCAAATAAAATAAATTATATTAGTTCTCTAAATCAATATTCATATAAATTTGTAACTAAAATTCCTATTTAATCTGCAGCTAGACTGCAATTTTTCCATTTTAGGCGTTGCATTATTTATGTGACTTTGAGTTAATCCATTTTTGGCTAGATTAAAATCAATAAAAGCAATAAGTTACGTAATATTATATAATTATAAAGAAATAAATCCCCAGCCCTTTCACTTGCTATAAAAAAATTTTAATATGCCACAATTATCCTTAAAAAATAGGCAAGAATTATACACTTTTTTAAGAAGGCTATCAAGCTAATATCATTATTAAAGAAGGTGTTCATAAGTTTATGTTTACTAGAATAATAAAAAACCAGGTTATTTCTGAGTTATTTTTATTTACACTGAATGTAAAAATTCTCTGACTTATTACTTCTAATGAATATTCTATAGCAGTTGCTATATAAGGTGACCAAAAACTATGATGATATCCAAATTTTACTGTAATTATACGTAAAACACTTCAAAGAAATGGTCTGAAGAATTAAAAAGAAGAAGTCTTATTTTAAAATATATACTTAAATGTCACTGATTTTAAAAAAATTATTAAAATTAGTCTGTATAGAATTAGAATAAAATAATCTGATCAAATAAAAGTAAGTTTATGCTTTTAGTTCAAATAGATGCCAGTATTATTGAAAAAAATCAGAAGAGCCATTAAAAAGTTTTCATATCAAACTAATGGTAAAATTTGGTAGAGGTAATATAATAGTATAAATATGCTTTTTAGTGAAAGATATTATCAATTTTTATATAATTAATGGTAGCTTAAATAGGAAACTTTATCAGCAAATACTTGAAGAAGATCTTATGAAATCTATTTAAGATTGAGGATTGAGTATTGAAGATATAATATTTTAATATGATAATGATTCTAAATATATAGTAAATCTTATTAAGAACTGATTTTCTAATAATGAAATAATTGTTCTTGATTGATCTGTATAATCTTCAAACTTAAATCCTATAGAACATCTTTGAAACAAAGCTAAATATCATTTAAGATATTTTTCACAATAAACTACAGAAAAGAAAGATTTGTAAAAATATTACATGAAGTTTAGTTTAGGATTAAGATCTAATTTATATTTTTTTTATAATATTAAATAATAATTATATTAAATTAAAAATTGAAAAATAATACAATATATATATAAATTTAATTAAATCTATACCAGAAATGATAAATGATATAATAAAGGCTAAAAGGTTAAACAAGATGGTAACAGATGTATTATTTATATAACTTTTAGTGATTAATATTTAATCAGTTAGGATTAAACTAAAAACTATAACAAATTCTTATACTAATATATTTTATTTAAATTACAATACTAAAAACTTAAAAATTGCTATTTAGATTTTTTTTATGTGATTAAATCAAAATAAATATATATTTTTTATAAATTTTAATTCAGCAAATCTTATAACCTTATTTACTTTGATATAATTTAAAATAATAAGTTTTATATTAAGTGGTTGCATTACTTTTGTAAATTACTATATATTGATAATATAGATGAGGGACGAAACCCCTTAATAACAGTCGAAACTTAGACGAAACTATATTAAAATCATAATAAGGGATACGACGAAACCCATTCGATACGACGAAAGCCGAAACTGTCGAAACTATATTAAAAACATAGAAAAGGGTATGACGAAATTATTTTGAGGAGGTTTCGGCAGGCATCTATAATTGATAAAGTTTGATATTTATTCTTTTTGTAACTAATGAATCAAAAGCAAATATAAAATATTTGAACTATTATTAAAGATAATATATTTACAGTCAATTCTTGTTATAATGAACTCTATGTCCTAGACCCCAACTTCGCTATAAAGCTATACTGAAGATTTTAAGAGATTTTATTGACAAATTCGTTATAACAAAAGTATTTTTATTATATTTATTCAAAAAATTCATTATATCAAGAAATTGCTATATCTAGAGATAACTGTATACCAATTTAAAAATAAATTAAATATAAAAATAACTTTAAATTTAAATTTATTCAATTAAATGTTTTGCAATTTAACATCTTTTATCATTTTTTTTTAGTTTAAATATATATATATCTTTTAAAACATTAGAATAATTTTTAATTATTTAAGTTTTTATTAAATTTTTATTTATCATAATTGATTTCTATTATATTTTTATATAATGATACTTCATTTAATTTAACATTATTTTTTATTTATATTTCTATATTTTAAAAATATTTTAAAAGACTTATTCTTTGTAATAAAGCTACTTTAATAACATTTAATATAATATTTCAAAAAATATTTTTAAAAAAATAGTTCTGATAATATTTTTTTAATAAAAATTAGCTTTAGAGTTGTTTAGTTTTAAAAAATATATTTATTAGTATTTTTTTTAAGAAAATATAACTTTATAGGTTTTTTTTAATAGAAAAATACATATGATAATGATTTTTTAAAAAAATATGCTTTTAAACATTTTTTAAAAAAATTTATTTTAAAGCAATTTTATTAAATAAGCTTATAATTTCTTTAAAAATTAGTTATTAAAACATTTTCTTTAAAGAAATTTATTTCTATAGTAATTTCTTTAAAGAAATTTGCATTTTAAATTTTTTTTTCAAATAATTTCTCTTTTTATGATAATTTCTTCAAAAATTCATTTTTAGAATGATTTCTTTAAAAAATTTTTACTCTAAATATTTTTCTCTTAAAAAATTTACTATAAAAATAAAACATATCTGATAGATTTCTTAAAATAAAAAATTTTAAAATCATTTTAAAAGAAAAATGTTTTTAAATCTATTTTTTTAAAGAAAAAAAATTTTGAAACTTATATTTTCTATTTTTAAAGAAAATTTCCTAAAAGGCAATTTTTTTTAAAAAAATATATTCTAGTATATTTATTTTTACATAAATATCTTTTGAAGTATTTTTAAAAAAAAATACATCTAATAATATTTTTTAAAATATATTTTATTTAACATTATTTAAAGAAAAACAGTTCTAAAATTTTTTAGTTTTAAAAAAAATGCATCTAGTAGAATTTTTTAAGAAAACTCAATTTTAAAAATATTTTTTTTATATTCAGTAATGATATTTTTTTTAAAAAATTTATTTCAAGATCATTTTTTTTAAAAGAAATATACTTTCAAATATTTTTCAAAAGTATTTACTTTCAAAACAATTTCTTTAAAAATTTTTTTTTAAAATAGTTTTTCAAAGAAATTTATTTTTAAAGTATTTTCTTTAAAGAAATTAACTTTTATGATAATTTTTTAAAAAATTTTTTTAAAGTATTTTCTTTAAAGGATTTTTCTCTTAAACATTTATTTTAAAATTTACTTTAAAACAATTTCTTTTAAAAATTTTATTTAAACAAATTGATTTTTTTAAAAAAAATGCATTTAGTATTTTTTTAAAAAATAAAGGGTTTTAATAGCCATTTTTTTAAAAAAAAATTATTATAGAGCTATTTTTCTTTAAAATAAAAGTTTTAGAGTTTTTTTTAAAAAACATATTTTTGAAGTTATTTTCTTAAAGAATAAAGATTTTTTTTTAAAAAAAAAGAATTTTTGAAACCATTTTGATTATTTTTAAATAAATATATCTAAAAGGTCTTTTTTTTTTGATAAATACTTTAAAAGCTAATTTCATTTAAAGAATACTTTAAGAAGAATTTTTTAAAATGATATTATAAAAACATTTTTTCTTAATAGGAATTATTTTGAGAATGTTTTTTTCAAAAAAAATCATTTTAGTAATATTTTTATCAAATTATGCAAACTAAACAAGCTGGCTTATAATCTGGATTAGTTTAACTTGAATTATTTATCATAAATAAATTAATTCAAACTAAAATAAAGGTAGTTCAGCTTAAGCTAATAATAAATTAGCTTATAAAAACTTTATTATTTAAATTATATTTATTATTTTTATTTCTAATAATAGATATTTAAGTATATTTAAAATATTTAACTATTATTTTACAATATTTATACAATTTTTATATTTTTAATAATAATATATTTTAATAAATCCTAAATTGATATAGAAACTCTATTTTATTATAATATATTTTAATAATATCTTTATTAATAATAATTTTAATGATAAAATAAAGATAAATTATTATTTATGACAATAAAATCTATCAAATCTGAGTAGTTGTAAATTTATTATTACTATTATATATTTATTTATTACATTTATACTATCTTTATCTTTTTAATAAATATTTAAGATACAAGATATTCATATAATTTTTTTCTTAACATTTTTTTACCAATATTCTATTATAACTTTCTATTAAATTTCTTTTTAAAGTTAAAATTATATCTTTCATTAATCAAACAAATATAGAAGTTTCTGATAAAAACATTCTTATATTGATTTAACTTATTAGTTAAAAATTTTTTAAATTTTGAATTCTCTTTACTACACTAGTTGAAATCAAAACTTTCGGTCATGTGACTTTTCAGAATAAATTTCAGCCAAAGTTCAGTATGGTCCAAATTTCGACTAAATTTCAGCATATGACTTTTCGAATGTCATTTCCGAAGTCTTTTACCGAAGCTGATCATTTTCCGATGTTCTTTACCAAAGTTGATCATTTTATGTAAAATTTAAACTAACAAGTTTATTTTTATTTTTTAACGAATATTATATTTTCTGTTAACAAGATTTACGGTCAAATATTCTTTCGCATTTTTCCGATCCAAAATTTTATACTTCACCGGCACATATATACTTAGAATATTGTGTACCGGAATTATGCAGACTTGATATTGGGGATAAATTCGGAATCCTAGAGTTCGACATTACAAGTCTCGTCATCGGTAAAGCTGAAATGGTATAAGAATTTACAGGTCAATACCATCGAATAAATGCTAATTATTTTCTAATTCTCCATTCGGTAAATCAGCTTTGTAAGAAAAAAAGAATTGTATTTGTCCCGGCCAACAATCGACGTTACCATCTTGTTTATAAATTTTGCCAAAATATACAAGCTTTTTATATGACGAGCTGACATACTTGACCCAAAATATCTCTGAGCCAATTCTGCATCTACCGAACTGATTAATTTTGACAGAAATGACCCTTGTATCGTCATGCCCTTCTCCGAATGGCCTCCGAAAATCAAATGTTTCATACGTCGTCATATAATATTCAACTAGTAAATCAAGCACCGAACTTGACATCACTATATCTTCAGATGCTGGACCTATCATTTCACCTGGGAACAGCTCACTTCCAGTGATTAATGATTCCGTGAATTCAACCAAAATCTTTCCATTTCATTTGCTGAAAGCTAGTCAGCTTCTGCCAAAGACCCAACTAAAGGTTGGTTTTTGAGAAATTCTAGACCTTTTGTCATTTCGCAAGAATTTATAATACTATCAACATAGCTATCAGTCATGGATGTCGGTAAAGCGCCTAAAATATAAAAATTATAATTATACATCAATCGAAAGTAAGAATATTATTGTAAATTAAAAAATGAAAAATATAGTTTACCTAATACTCCGTTCATATGCTCGAAAGAGAAACACCAAAAAGCGTACAAAGGCCGTAATCACGTGTACTTTCGGTTAAATGGAGGGAAAGATGGAGTTAGGAGTGATTTTATCACGTCCATGTTGTTGCTCAATCAATTTTATGAGTTCAGTCAATCTCCAGTGTGATTCTCTAACGGCATCAGTTTCTAGAATCTGGCTTACAAAAATCCTGCAAATTCTCACAAAATGATGAAGATCATGTTCCGAAAGATGGCTTTAGAGTGAAACCGTAGCGCTATATTGCAAAAGATATCCGCCATTGATCCGCAGTAAAGTTCTCCGCAGTGGATTTTCCCTGGGATTCGACCCACAGCGGCCTGAAGTAAATAAACTTATCCGAAAATAAAGAGAAAAAAAGAAAAATCGCGGGCTGAAGCTAAAGTAGAAAACGATATCATTCTTGAGAAAATCTACTATAAGTTATTCGATGGACACAATGGAAATAATTGAACCGAAAGAGGAGAACTTATAAGAAAAAATAAAAATAAATAAATAAAGTTATGAAATAAAATAGTCGAAATCACTTGTCTATTATTAAAATCAACACCAAAACCTACTAATCAAATAATAAAAAAAGAATATGAAAATAGAAAATCGAAGCAAATGATAAAACGTTTGCCTATTTAATTAATCTAGGGATTGGAATCGATTTCGATATTTAGAATCGATTTGAGAATCGATTTAATCGCGATTATCGTTTCTCCAAGATTCGACTCTAAGATTCAACTTTCAATTTCGACTAATCGAATATGAGAACTCTTTAAATAAATAATCCGAAAAATAAAAATAATTAAATTAAATTAAAAAATAAGGGATATATATATGATATGCATATTAAAAAATAATTAAAAAATTAAATATTAGAACACGCGATTATAAAATAAATATTAACTTTTAAATAAAAAAAAAAAATTAAAAAAATTTAAAATTAAAACTTAATTTCTTCGACCATTACTTTTCTTATAGCACATTAAACAATCGAAAAAAAAAAACTGAAATTTGGTTGGTAATCAAACAGCCCTAGCGTCGCCACCAAAAAAAATGGTAGCCGGATTTATTTGCCGGGTCACATATACTTATTAGGGGTGACATATAATTGTGACAATTAGCATTTTTCTCTCAAAATAATTTCCGAGTCCCCAGAATACTTAGTAAATTGAAGAACGGCTGGGATGTGACGCGATGTGACAAATTTTCTAACCCCATAAACTAATCCTAATTCTACCCTAATCCTAATCCTAATCCAAACCCTAACCCTAGTACTAACCCTAATAACAAATACCCGACAAATAAAATCCGGCTACCATTTTTTTGGCGATAGGTAATCATTTCAAATCATGTGACTGGTTGCAATAGATTATACAATTTATAGCTAATTTTATATTATTTTTATCGGAGTAAAGGAGTTGCCGCTTTTATTTTAACATCTTAGGATTTGAATCGATTAAAAAATAGAGTCGATTTCTCGATTATCGATTCAAAATTTTGACCGCAAAAATTTTATTACAAAACAAAAACAAAAATCATTACCAAGCTATTTTTTTAGATTGTTGTTCGGGTATGATTGCTTAGGCTGCAGAAATCGAATGATTAATTACCTTTTTTTATTTTTGTTTTAATTTTTTTTATTATCAGTTTCTCATTTCTTCGCTTCACGTTGCATTGATTAAATAAATACGAAAACATTTTCTCATTTACTTTGATTTTCTTTACATTTCGTTTTTTTATTTTATTATTGCTTATATTGTTTCCTTTCTGGTTCGATTATTACCATTATAATATAATGATGTTTAGGCAAAGATTTCTTATATTACATTTATATTCCTGCAAAAGGTTCTAATTATGTTATATTAATAACATTCAAAATAATAAGATAATACTATATTTCCCATGTAATAATCTTCTATAATTACTCAATAAGAACTACACTAACCCATTAATCCATAATAGTCCATTGGAAATTTAAATGTTTTGCATGCATCCAATTGTCTGTTTCGGATGAAATACATATCGTTTTGAAGCACCTCTCTCAGCAAAAAAAAATTACCAAGTCATTTGTATAATTAACATTAATAATTAATTTTTCTATTATAATTCGACAATACTTTTCTCAAATATTTTGGCCTAGCAGGAAATTACTACATTTTTATGGGATTTCTTTGCTCAATCTAAGTTATTGCTGCGATAAGTACAATCTTAGAGAATTCCCATTATCCTATTAAAAAAACTATTTTAGCCAAATTTTAACTGAAATTGGAAATTTAGATCGTTAATTTAAACCTCAAAACAAAGTGATCGACATAATAATATGGAACTTTAGATCGTTAATTTAAACCTCGATTTTCTCAAAACAAAGTGATCGACATAATAATATAAATCCGAGATCGAGTTCCGAGATTGACTGCAGTTATGACATATTTGACTGATAAATGGTTATGAAAATCGTAAAATTAAAATTTTGAATGAAAAAAAAAAGAAGTAAATGAGAAAAGTGTTAGGATACCGAAATGGTTTATCAGAGGGTAATATACGGTATATAAGACTTACCTAATTTTTTTCGACCAGGGAAAAAAATTATTTCACTCATGAAGAAAGATTTATTATTATACATTCTTATACATTATTCATCGGCAGTTATTGCTGATTGGATCACTGTAGAACATGATTTTAATATGTGCAACCAAGTTGTACCTTCTAAATATGCAGCGGTCCATATAAACGATGATGGCGATACTTATTCGACGTCTCTTTTGGTCAGGGATGTACAAACTATAAGTCATGAGCCAACTTTAACAACATTAAACATCACTATGTGGGGATGTACCTATGATTGTAGCTTCAGCTTTATGGTGAAAGTAAATAGGAATGAACTTTTGGTTTCGTCGTATACCGAAAAAAACCATAAGAACTACATATGTAATTTTAGTAATTACACGATGAAACTCATTCCGACCCCCAAAATTACATATAAGCAAGAAGCACCTGACCCAGGTCACGTATTTCCAACCGATCTAACTGCCCAGTATTGCGGTAAAGGTATACATCCAGATTTTCCTAGTTGGCCTATTAATCAAACAGAAAATGTAGCCGAATGTATCGATTTTTTGACCGGTAATGAAGTTGGAACATACGCTGCATCTCTTCAGTTCGGTTTAGGGAGCTCGTTCAGTCCTGAAGGCTATGGTATTGCTACATATCACATGATTAATTCGGCAAACAAGCTATTCAACCATTGGGAGAGACACCATCAAGGGTTCCATGATGCCCTTAAAGAACTAAGCGTTAACATGACTCCCGAAAATCTAAAAGAATTGATCCCACCGCCGCCGCCACCGCATAAAAAAAACTTGCTCAAACTGATTTTAATTATTGCAGTCGTTGGCATTGTCGTGATTGCTGCAACTGTAGCTGGATCATTTATGCTTGCTGGCTTAAGTGCTTCCGTAGAAGCCACCTCCGAAGTCGCTGCCGAACTTGGTGCTGCAGAAGATGTTATGGCAACATCAGAAGAAGGATCGGCATACTTTAGTGCAGCGGAAGATTGGTCAGAAGAAGCGATGGCAGATACATCCAACATAAAATCATTCGATATGTACACAAGAAATATAAACCATTGGTATACATTGAACCCAAATACTGCAGGGAAAATACTCTCGACATACTATCAAAGATTAGCTGACCCGAATGTTCAACAAATGCTTGCAAATTTGTATAGGGTTAACCCTGTAGAAAAGAGAGGTATGACGCCGACAGATAATATAGGATTTTTTACGGTTAACATGATGAATGTATGCTTTCTTCCAAGTTTAATGGACGATGTTCATCAATCATTTACCGGCAGCGGACAAACCTATGCAGATATTTCATCATATCTATCAGCCGCAGGTGAACATCTCCAATTTCATTTTGAAAATACATTGCACAATAATTTTTTTGCCGCAAACAAATCATTATTAGCTAGTTTTACTGTTAATCAAAGGGCGGATTATCATAAATTACTTGACAATGATGATGACGTATATGATACTATTAAACAAAATACATATTACTTTATGGCAGCTTCAATAATAAGCGGTACCTTAAGAAAGTTGAATGTTGAAATATGTGACCCAAAACCTTTATTTTGCGGACAACCTTGTGATTCTGGTCATATTTATTGTCCAATAGTCGGAAATGATACTAATAGCTGTGTAATATCTGCAACAGATAAACAAATAAAGGAACTTAATTTCCTTCGAGATCCCTTTGATATATGTTCAACTGATAATAGAACTGGTTGGGATATAAACCATAATTCCAATTGTAATAATAGAACACAATTTCAATGTAAATAATAGGGCAAACGTAATGTAATTTTAGTATCGATGATATTTATCAATTCATCCGCATCATTATTTGCAAACTATAATTGATTTACATGACTTGACTTCTAATGTACTAATTATAATATTTATAATATTTAGTTAAATACATTTATATTTTTCCCTTTATCTTACATATTATAATTTTTGCATTTTTTTTTTCATCCGTGATATATTGTTGGGAAGATATAATATTACATTGCATTACTTTTTATTAAGAACATCTATGATACAAAAATGATCCTTAATTTTGAAGAAATGACTGCGCGTATCGCGTATCACGGAAGACAACATCATATCAATTGAATAAAATTTAAAATTATGAACATTAAAAAAGAATATTCTATCAAAAAATTTTGAAATTCTCTCATAAGGATATCACAAAAATAAATAAATAAATAAATAAAATAAATAATTGAATAATATTTTGGGATAAGAAAAAACAAAATTTTGATATTTTTACTTCATTAACATAATTCTTGAAGAAAAATGATGAATAAAATTCAGTTAACTCGATACTTGAAAAATCCGAATTCAAAACTTGGTAATTTTTTATATTAAATTTTATTTTCTTAATCGTGAAATTGTTTTATGACTTATTATTATTCATATAGATTATTGTATATATTGTTTGTATCTTCTTGGTTTGTTAGCAATCAAATTGGATCGATATTTAATTAATTAGGAGATGGGGTATTTGGAGGATTTAACTGAGTTTTAGCGGAAATATATTAATTGGTTATAAATAAACATTAGAATTTAATGATATTTATTGTGGGAGATTTTTCTATATAACTTACTATGAGATATTTTCATCATAGCCAGTTTTCGCAAAGTTTAAGTATTACAGAGATATTAATTAACTCTTAACCTTGTAATGCAACCAGCAACTAAATCATTAATAAACTAGGGAGGAAGGCCATAATATTTCTTTATAAATATAAATATACGATCATATAAAATTATTATGATTGAACCATAAAGTATAATAAATATATATACATTATATATAAAAGTCGGTTTAAAAAAGAAAATTAAAAAAAATATTTGTTAAAAAAAAATAATTAATAATTATAATAATAAAAATAGAAAAAATTAAAAGTAAAATAATTTAACGTTAAAAAAATAATAAGAAAAGATAAGAAAAAAGCCAAAGACGAAAAAAATTCCATCCCTGCGATCCGAAACAACCGAACCTGAAACTTAAAAAACAATCCAATTTGAAGAGAAGAAATTGCCCCCCAAATTTATAAAATAAGTCATAATAAATTTGTATTACCGAACTCTTTCATTATCTCAAATGATAACCTCCAAACATCGAGCGAGATTCGTTATAGAGAGCTTCAACTTGTAGACATTTTTAATTAGTAAATTAAGAATTGTGCGGAATATATGGCAGTAAAAGAGGAGAAAATCTGAAAATTTTGCTAACTTTAGTTCTTAAGCTAATTAGTTAAGTGGACCAATTAATCAAAGTTTATGACTGCCGCCCATATATATATAAATCTAATGACCCAGGAATTTTAAATAATATAATAAATATGTGCTTACAATCATTTACAATGAAAACATATTTTCGTTATGAAAATACATATAAGCTTCATTGACGAGGTGTAATTCCGAATAAGACATAAAATATAATTTAACTTTATTAATACTCCAAAAACAAGCTTTATTTAACGTGTCACAAAGTCGTGATTTTGCAGACCGTCTGAAAGGAATAAAATTTTCCATTTCTTCCGCCGTTTTTTCATTTCTTCACGAAATTTGCCCCTTGAATTTCTTGAAATAAAAAAAAAATCCTTTTGAAAAAATGACTTCTGAAATTTTCTAGGTCAGAAAAATATCAAATTGCCATCACGTCGAAAGTTCTGAACAGAAAGTTTCCAATGAAAATCATTGAAAGTTATGAAATCAATATAACTATTGCTCATTTTGAATTAATTAATAATTTATCTATGAGAAGTTCTATAAGTTAAACGAGCATTCTATGCCAAAAACTTCGAATGGGATCTATCCTATAGCAGCTTCTCGAAGAGTACGATACACGAGATGATAAAGTTAAAATGATTGCAAAAAATTCCAATAATGGAAATGTTATAACTATACCTAGTAGTTCCAACAAAATTTTGAACCATTATTTATTGTCTTAAATTTATTAAATATCGGGAATTTGTAAATTTATGGAAGCTATGGATCCATAAGAGATTGAAAATGTGTATATGATGTTTAATCTGATTATGTTGTAAAAAAATTTATTTTATATATAGCTTTAAATATAATAAGAAAAACAAAACTTTTAATGATGAGATTTATATATCCGAAAATCGTCATGAAGTAATTTAACGTTACACTGGAAGAGTCAACAGGAAGCGCTATGTCGTTATGCCACCAGGGTATTCGACATAACATTCATGATTGTATCATGTATGCATTATTTTATGGCATTATTATCATCAGTTGTAGCTGGTCGTTAGTAATTTATTTTTTATTGCAATATAAACAGTATTTGCTTTTTATCGATCTACAATTTATTTGGTTAGAAGGCGAACCGAATTTGTTTTTCATATTTTTTTACGTAATCATTATAAGACAAATTTCTTTTCTTATTTAATTATTTAACTGAATAAATTATGACATGTTTCATACATCCGAAGATGGTATATTCATTATCAAATCGGTAAAGGGTAGTGACGAGCGCTTCAAGACGATCATATTCTATTATCACTTCTCGATCAACCATGAACGCGGTTTTATCTAATGTCATTTGAATGCAGTCTCAGCTTGAACCAGTGATGGCGAATGATCAGGTCATTTGACTATTTTAAAATGACCTTCGAATGACTTTTGAATGACCATATCATTTTGGTCATTTAAATAAGTCATTTTACAAATGACAAATGACCTTGCGTGATATTGTCACTTGAATGTTATTTATGTTATTTGAAGTCATTTAAGTCATTTAAAATAATTTTTTAATTCAATTTTAGGATTAAGTAGATATAAAATATTTTAGTAATCTATGATGAGTTTAAATTAATATAGTGTATAAAAATTATTATGGAAGAACCAAAAAATTTTTTCTTATGGTGCATTCTATTAAAAAATTTGTCATTAAAAAAAATTTAAAGAATTTTTTTCGTGTGATTTTGTGATTTTGTTAAATGAAAATTATCAGTTATTAAAATTAATCAGCTATATTATTAAAAAAAAAATTTGAATTTATTAATCAGAACTGGATTAGCCGCAAAAATTCTGCTATTAGATACATGTATGCCAAAAATAATATGGAATTGATCAGGCGTAAATGTCATTGTTATCATACATCTCACATTACAAATTAAAGTTATGTACTATATAATTAATTTTTCGTTCAATTTCTTAAATTAACTGTTAGCAATGAGGAATGTACATATATTCTTCCTTTTTTATAATAAAGGACAAATTTATTCTTCTTTTAAAAAACATATATCATGATCTTTATTTAAATAAAATGTTGTACATAAATTTTTTTAAACTCACATTTATAACATTTAGTGTATTTAAATGTGTCAAAGACAAAGAAAAGAAAGATAAAAAACAAAATATTTCAATATTATGAATATGGGCAAAAAGTCACATAATTTTAGAGAATTCTTTACATTAATTAATCTGTCAAGAAATATAGCCAATAAATGAGCTATTTGTAATTTTTGTATAAAGGAATATTCATTTTCTGTAATGTCAATTAATGTTGGTTACTTTGTTTTAAATAAAGCAAACTTTACCACGAACACCTTGTAAAATGTACAAATTTTAAAATCAAGTAATAGAAAGTGAAAGAAAAGATATTCTAACAAGAAGTTTACCAGTAAAAAAATTGACATCAAAAATATAAACATAATTGAAGATACTAAATATTTAATAGTTTTAAATTACACTTCTCTTCTAAATTCTTTTAATTTTTAATTTCTAACAGAAATATCAATATTCTTTTTTTTATGATATAAATTTTTAGATTCTGAAAGTAAAGATGAAAGTGATGAAGAAAATAATGGTGATGATAATGAAACCTCAATTCAATTACCAAAACTAATCACTACTACTTAACTACCTATTACAAATTATTTATCATGATCTTTAACAAAGAAAGATAAGTCTTATTTTAAATCTTACTATTACAAATGTTAGTTTCAAATGGATTATCTTTTACATTTTTTGAAAATCAAGAAATAAAAAATGTTTTTGAATTCATTGCTTCAGCCTTAATATTACTAAATCAGAAAAGGATATGTGACTGAATTTTACTAAAATCAACCAAAATGTTAACAAAATATATTACAAAATTACATAAAATGATAAAATTGAAGTAACAGTAGCATTTGATGGTTGAACAAATGGTAAACAAGAGTATTTATTTTTATAATATTAACTTATTTGAGATGTAAAGGTATAAGTGATATAAGATCAAAAACAAAAAATATAATTAATCATGTTAAAATTATAATGATTAAAGCTGAAAAAAATAATATTAAAATAAATTATTTTGTATTTAACTTAGCAAGTGAATATGCTATAACTTTGCAATGTAGTATATATAAGTTTTATTATTTTAAAATTTTATATATTAATTATTAATAAATTAATTTATTTTTATAAAGAATTATATGAAAGATTATCCTAATAAGATATTTTTTCCTCATATGGCTCACCAAATGAATTTAATTATAAGGATATCTTCAAAGAATTAGATATTTATCAGCAAACTTTAACAAGAGCTGTTAAAATTGTTAGTTATTTTCATTTATCAATTTTTTTACTAGTCTATTATGAAATGAATAAAAATAATTGTATAATAAAACAATAGCTTTAGCTACTCTAGGTGAAATATATTAGAATAATTATTATTTTTGTTTTTACAATATTTTAAAAACTAAAGTAGTACTTAGGGTAAATTTATACTTTAGTTTATTGATTAATGAATAAATATTCATTTAATAAATTATTTTAGATTTTAGCTATAAAATTTACATCTTAGTGTCTTAAAGATTCTTTTACATTTTGAAATTATTATAAGAAATAAAGATATATTTTAAGTATAGATAATAAATTTCTTTCTTTAGATATAATTGCTATAATTAATGACCATAATTTTTGGAGCTATCTGTATAAACTTCAAAATCTAATTAGACCACTTTATGTAATATTAAATAAATTACAAAAAGATATAATATGATTATATGAAGTAATTCTTACTTTTCGATAAATAACTAAAGTATTTTTAGTTATCAAATTGAGGATTTTTTAATAAATTAATTATTTGACTTAAAAATCGTTAGAATAAATAGAAATAATCTCTTTTATTTTTATATTTAGTTTTAAATCCATAGTATTATCTTTTACTTTTAAATAATAATATTCTAAATTTTTCTTATACTCATTTTGGCTAGTGGATCAATTATTATTATCAGATTTAATTTAATATGATACTATAACATATTTTATATAAATATTTTTCTTATCAATGAAAAAGTTTATCCTTTTGATATGCAAACTTTTAATCAACTTAATGGAGATATAATAGATTTTTAGAATTTAATAATAAAAGCAAGCACTTGAATTATCGCACTTTAAAATTTATTATATAAAATTTGTATTAATTTAGCCTCAATAGAGTGACTTTAATCCAATATGAGATTTTATACTCTAAAGGATAAAATTGACTTTATGTAAATAAAATTTATACTTTTATTAATTTATTACTTTTTTGATATATTGATAAATATTTTAATTTAATTTAAAAGTATAAAAAGTACTTGAAATGAGTCAATTAAAGAGTAATATTTTACATAAAAGAATAAAATTTGAAGTTGAAAAATCAGAAAAAATTTATAAACAAAATTATATAGTGACTTCTCATATACAACTTTATAAAATTTTTAATGTTACAGATATTTCTAAAACTTTTGAAAAAGAAGATTATAATAGTGAGATAACAATTAGTGATAATTAGTGATAAAGAAAAATTCTTTATACAATTTTATGAATTTGATTTTAAATATAATAATAATAATACTATAGAATAATGAATACATATAATTCAAAATTGAATGAGTATGATTGATGAAAAAAAATTTTCAGATAGTGATGAGACAAATTTATAGCTATAGATCATACTATTAATCCTACTGATTATCCACTTGCAAAATAATATCTTTATAGCATTTTTAATAATAGATTTGAATCGCAAGAATTTGTGAATATATTAACTAATTTAAGTTAGTTTAGAAATACCAGTAATTATATCATTTTAATAAAAATTTATTTGAACTCATATCATTTAAGTTTTTATATTATTTATTTATAATTTATTAAAATATAAAAGATAATTAATTTATAATAGTAAATTACTTAAAATACATATTTAATAATATATTAAAGATCATCAAATAATAAAATTACCTAATTTATATATAAAATGTGAAAAAATAATTAGTTTAGAAAATAAGCATATCATTTGTCATTTGGTGTCAAAATAATTTAAATAATATGTGACTAGTCATTTAAGTCATTTTAGATCATTTAGATTATTAACTATCACTAGCTAAAATACCTACTTAAAGCAATATATGCTTAACTGGTAAAAAATCTGATCATCTTGACTAACTGAAATATTATTTAAAGTTAGGAATTTAAATTTTAGTTTTATAAATAATATAAATTTTTTTTTAAAGTTATAATTTAATTAATTGATTTAAATAAATTTTTTAATCAGATCTAATATTATATTGTGATTTTTAATTAAACTGTTTTAAATTAATATTTTTAAAATATTAATTATAATATAAATTATATAAAATATATTATTATATATTATAATAAAAATAATATAATACAAAATTTAATAAAATTATAAATTATAATATTTAAATACCATTTAGTAAATATTAATTATAATAAATATTATTATTTACTTTAGTATTTATATATACTGTAGTATTTAATATAATAAAATTAATTAATATTTATTTAGTTAAATTTTTTTTTATAATAAAAAATACTAATAATTAATTTTAATAAGTATAATAAATAAATTTTATTAAATAAATATAATAATAAATTTAAAAATTAATAATACATTTTTTTAAAAGATGATATTTTATATAATATTTATTTTAATATTATTAAGATTTTTAATAATTGCAATTTTTAAATTTAAATTAATATAAATAAAATATTTAAGTATAAAAAGTTATAAATTATAATTAAAAAGAAATATATTGATATACTTTTGATACTTTTAATAAAGAAATTTTAATTAATAATTTATATTAATAAATAAAAGTTAAAATCTAAAATCAAATATAAATTAAGAAATATAGAATATAATTAAATTTAAAATATCTTATATAAAAAAACTTTCATCTTTATGCAATTATAAAATCAATTAGAATTAATTTAATATTAAGTAGATAAATAAAATAAATATTTTGTTTTA